TAAATTTCATGTGTTGAAACTAAAAACTTCTATTGTGTACCTCCATTTTAGTGCTACTGATCTCATTTTATATAGATCTATTTTCCCTAATATAAACTGATCTATCTTCTGTATTAATTTTTTGTCGTTTTTGTCTTCATATTTGAATGTGCATCCCGCGACAAAATTATGCGGTTACCCGGGTTAGGCTATTTCTTTTATATTTTTTAAATAAAAATTATTTTTTTTATAAAATTTTAGGTCATTGTCTAACAAAACGAAATAAATCACAAATTCAAAGAATCAAAAAATTAAAAAATTTTTATCAAAATTTCAGTTTTTATTCAGAATTTGTAATTTTTTTTTTTGTTAAGCATTTTTGAATGCCATTAATTCATTAAAAGGTGCAAGTTTTAAATGTCTAAAAAATACCATTGATTTTTTTTTTTACGGTGGTGCGCACCTTCTTCCATATAAGCAATGTTGGCATTTTATATTATATGAAAAAATTTAATTTATCGCTCAAACTGGGTGACCATAGAATTTTATCGCGTGGTGTACCTTTAAAAATGTGGAATCCAACTTAAGATTTTATTTGTGTATACTTAAGTTAAACTGTAAACTTAATGAAACTTGGTTCAATTTAATGGGACTTTCTGACAAAACTGGCCATGACTTTATGGGCTAGTTGGAGAGATCTCAAAGATAAGTTACGTTAAATTAAGTTTACACCAACTGAAGCTGTACAATGAACTGAAAGATATGTAAACTCACTGTAGTAGACAAAAAATAGTGTATGTTTGGTTGAAGGAAAACGGGAGGTAATGTATTGACGGAAATGGTGAAAAGTACAATGAAGCTCAAAAAGTTACAGTTTTTGTCGTTAAGTTAGAACAATTTTAAAATCTCAAATATCAACACTGGTCACAATCTCAAGGAAGGCGTTGTGAAATGAGCACTGGTCGTACATGTCGTATGAGCAATCTAACCATGTGCTTGCAATGAGTGCCTGCCATTTTTTTTTTTTTCAAGGTGTGCAAAGTATTTCACGTCATTTTTTCAAGCAAATTTTTTATAATAAAATACATGAATACATACTAGAATAAAAACCATATAAATTATAGTTTAAAATTTGTATAAAAAGTCCAAACTTTTAAACCAGAATTTTTAGAAATGTTTATTTCGGCTATTTATTCGGGTATAAGAAATTCCGCTGATTTCGTATACGCACTTCTTATATTTATTACAAATATTATGATTGGAAAGTAAATGTATACGAGTATTGCATTAATACATCCTTAAAACATATTTTTACTAAACAAATTTTATTTCAAAAAAAGGTTTTTATGTTTCTACTTATCGTTTAGATAGTCCAGATTACGCTGAATGGATACAAATCTATTGTAAATAGTCACCCAAATTTCTCTACCACTGATTATTCTAATTCCCCTGAGGAGTATGAATGTGCTAGATGAACTTATCTGCCAGCAATCAAAAAAATACATACATATGTATGTAAATATCTGTGATATTTGAGTTTGAATATAATTTTATTTTTATCGCTCAAATGAAATTTTCGTAATCAAGTTTTGGTGTCTTTGACCAAAAGGCACCGGCTAGGACCTGGCTGCACATGCAGCTTAGCTTGTTGCCGCAACTGGCTATCCGATGTGGACACAGAGTTAGCAATGGGGCAAATAGACACACACCAGCCAACATACAAAACTGTTTGATATGTGCTCACCAACTGACCCAGCCGAAGATTTGATTATTTAGGCAGCCACCCAATATACATACATACATATATATGTACATGCATATGTTTGTACATCTGTAAATGCGTGTTTACTTGTGTACACATATGTTTTCATATAGCTGCATTTAAACCGTTTTACGAGCGTTAACTTTTTCGACAGTATCTAGGGATACTCGATTGTTGTTGCGGCTTCATCCTCCATCCCCAGCAGTCACTCGTCCACTTTTACGACACATTCCAATGTTGGTAGATAAAAAAAAAAATGTTTTCCACATGTTTAGAAATATAAAAAAATATTATAATAAGTACTGGGGGCATCCTCGTGCGTATAGTATATGTATGTATGTATGTATGTAGCTATGTTTACACTTGAGCATGCAAACAAAGCAAACAAGAAAGGGTAAAAGGCATTGAATGGAAATGAAGCTGAATTGGCATTCAAGCTGTTGGCGGTAAAAATGAGAAGGCCTAAAATAGCAGAGTTGTTTGTGTGCATACAATAAATCATACAGTACCAGGTTGACCAAGCTTTGCTGGGAGTGAATATAATTTTTATAAGGATTTGGATAACTTTAATTCATGTGTAAATACTTTTTTTATGTAATGTTAATGGAATTCATTATTCAACATAACGATGTATGTATGTACATTAGACCACGTAAAAAAAAAATAAAAATCCTGCAATGCGACCGCCATCGGAACCAGATTTTAGTGTTTGCTATATCACTTATCCTCCACGAATCTCCACTCTCTACGACAGTTCTAAGAGGTCACGCAACGAGTGCGTGAGTGAGGTCAATATACATAATTTTCTACGATTAATCAAAACACCCGAAACTATATTAATACATTGATTACATGTCATTTAAGTATTATACATGCTCAGATTCTTTAAATTCCGAAATTATCCTTTTTTTAATCGTTTGACCTGTTGTTTATCCAATACCCAGGAATCTGAGCATGCATTATAGCACTGCCAGATACGCGTACTTTGCGTATGGGACCCTCAAGGATGAAACCTCTATGCAAACACACGCAATGTACTCAACTTTCAGTTTCATCCTTGAGCGGAACGCACGTAACGTGCTCTATCTGGCAGGGCTATAAGTATGTACTACTAAGGGCCAGTTTTTCAGTGCCAGTTTAAACTTAGATTAAGTAAACTGAGTTTAAATTGAACAGCTGGCTGACATTTGATTGGCTGATCTTAGTTCAAACCAGCCAGATCGGGCGTTTAAACTGAGTTTAAACTACGGCCGTGCACTGAAAAACTGGCCCTAAGATGTATATTTGTAGTACAAAAAAAGTGGCAACCCTTATCGAAAATATTTTTGGAATTTAGTTTACGTTAAAATTTGTAGAATCGAAAATAAGTGGCAATCGTACACTAATATTTTACGGGATAGCACTTATTTAGTAAATAGGCAAATAATTATTTAAGAGCCTTCCTACAGTATCCACGAATAGGAATAGGGTATCCTTATTTTTTAAACAAAAAATTTAACAAATATACAATTCAAAATAGATGGTAACCCTATTCGAAAATATTTCTGAATTGGGGATTAAAATACTTTAAAAACTGTATACCCATATCAAATCATTATCTGTAAACTTTATCAAAAATCAAAACATGACCTGTATTTCCTCAAAATCGTTAGAGCCGTTTCCGAAAAATCTATGGATATATGGTATGTCTTACAATATAAAGAAGTAATTCAAAATCAACGTTTTTGGAGATTTTGTAATACAAATAAGCAGACGACTAAAATTCCAAAAAAGGCAAAGATATGTGCCTTTCCATCTGCCTTTTGGTATACCAGCTGTATGAATTGATCAAACATTGATTGCATTTTCCCACAGAATTGAAATTTTGAAATAATTCTCCATATCGTCACCTGAAATAAATAACGTAACATCACGTCACTGAAATGTAAAAAGTCGTAACCTATAAAAAATTCAAAATTCACTTTTCGATTGCTATAATGGATTTCATCAAATTACAACTCACATAATTTTATGAAAAATAAAATAAAATTTGTCACGACTCTTTCCACTGAAATAGTGGCCACGATGTTACGTTATTTTGCATTTCAGGTGACGATATTATTAAACATGCGATATATGTATGTATTTATAAGATATGTATTTACATTTCGCTCATTTACGTCAATAGGTACAGTCATAAAAACCAAAAACATACATGAATATCGATACCCGAGGGGAAGATCGACCTATCTCGGCAGCCAGTTCTCAGAGATCTTTTCAAGAACGCCCTACTTCAGAATTCTCAGCACATTTTCAATGCAATTTTAGCTTATAAAGGGCGTTTTTGAACCGATTTCTGAGATAAGGCACGACAGTCGGGTCTACGTAACCGGAACGACCCAGATTTATATCTGGCCAAGGACTGTCACTCCAGCAACACTCCCCAAAATCTCTTTGGGGAATTTGTATGCTGCTACAACAACAACAACAACAACAACATAAGGCATTCTTCGACAAAATTCAACAAAAATTGTTTTTCAATAAAATTCTGATATAACGCGTTCTGTTTCCTAAAATAGGGCGTTTTCGTACTGGCTGCCGAGATAGGTCGATCTTCCACTCAGGAGACGATATACTCCCAACAAAAGGTTGAACGATCTTTGCTCGGAGTGCATATAATTTCTAAGTTTTTAAGGTTTGGTAATCAAATCATGATACATGTGTTCCACAGGGCAACACTAGTTTTTGGAGCGACAAATGTTAAAGCTATTGTTGATACTTTCTTTCAATCAGCGCCAGATTTTGGGACACATGTGGTCCAAGTGTCAATATTTGATACGCTCCAGTAAAGAAACAAAAGGTGATAGAACATTTCACTTACTAGCGTCGGATTAGAGTATTTACGCTACAACTCTTACAACGAAATCGCAGAAAAAGGTTTACATTAACTTGCCTATGCTCCCGGGACACTGTACATTAAGAGGACATCTGCAGCCGCTACAACAACAACAACAGGAAATCTGCATGAGTTAGGAATGTGGTCAAATAACCTCCTTCGCTTTTACGACTCGAATAAGGAGACACAACTGAATGAGTAGCAAGAGAACAAAAATATATCGTCTCTGCCTCCAAAATTTTTATAGTTTTTCTATGGATTGTAGGACTGAGCGAGGTGTATAAATGAGTGGAGGGCACAATAGATCTTAGGGTCACTGTGCACACCTCTATCTATATATCTATGATCATAACTCAAAGCTCATCTTTTAAGCAAAAATATGTGTATGTTAAAATTTTTTATTGCTACTTTTTTTTGCTTCATACTTTGTTAGGCATTATGTAATAGGGAACGATATATCAGGCCACGAGAGCAGAAGTGGCCCAATCCAATATATATATTTTTTTTGTGTAAACTTCTTAAAATAGTTCCAAATGTGATAAATTTTAAAATAAAGGTCGCTTTATCGTTATTTTGATGGTGCGCTATGTAGCTTTGTACCTTAAAATTAACAAACAGGTTACTTTTAAATTAAAATGTATCATATTTGAAATTATTTTAAGTAGGTAAGTACAATTTAAGCCACTTCTACTCTTATGGCCTCATATGTAACTAGAAATATAAAATTATAACATAGATATAATAAAACCGAGTGTCACGAAGCAACATAGAATGCGTAAGCTCTTACAGTCATTTTATAAATTTCCGTTAAGGCTGCTCATAACTGAGCAATTGCTTTCGACCTGAGCATCCTGCGCCACACAGTACGATATCAGCGTAAATTAAATGCTCTCTACTGCTTACCAAAGTCTTTATATTATCCAGTGTAGCCATAACAGCACGCTCAAAAATTACATTGTCAAAGCACACCTTTCCACAAGCGCAAAGTGGCGATTCTGCCAGAATATCAGTCAACAGCCACGGTATGGTGGCTGCTGAGTAAGGCAGTTTGTATTGGCAAACTGCGCGCGCTGACAAAAGCCATAATGATGGCGTACTGTGTTTATTGTTTTCTTCACTTAAATGATGTTCCACCTTCATTCCAAATTTATTACCCCACACATCTAGTACGACAATGCGCATGTGATTGAAATCAGAGGGCAGGGAAGTAAGCAGATTCGAAGCGATGTATAAGTTGCGCAGATTGCATAGGCGCCGAAAACCGAATGGCAGCCGCGGAATTTTATTGTTACTCATCTTCAGCCCCACCAGCTGCTCTAGTCGGATCAGGTCAAGTGGGAAATAACTAATTTCATTAGCAGATAAATCTAATTCACGCAGCGATTTGCGGATCTGCTTGCCGCGTAACCACTCCCAATCGTTTGCTGTACCTAGCTGATTGTTGTTGACTGTAAAACAGACCAATGAAAGTCGGCCCATCTCCCGTGGCACCTGGGTGATTAATGGTTGAGAATTACATACATATGTATATAAATTCTTCCTAATACTTACTCTGGAAATTTGATTATCACTTAAATCAAGCACAGTCAAATTTCGTAGGGAGCAAATATCGAAACTGATTTTCAATAATTGTATGTTGGAAATTTTTAACGACTTCAAGGAGCGCGGGAACCCCTTCACAGGATAATCACCACGTCGCAGTACTGTCATTTTCTCTTGTGGCTTCGAACGTTGTGGTATGGCGGTAGCAGCCGCAATGTTCAGTCTTAAATTTATGGAATCTTTACCCTCCAAGCCCAGCTTGATTGTTTGCAGGAAGCCCTTCAACTGTATCGGATCACAGTTAATCATAAGATTTAATGGTGGTTCTTTGAAGCTTATGGTGACTTTGCCGTCACGCAGGAACTTCGAGAATATCTTCTCAACATTATTGGTCACTTTGAAACGTTCGCCCGCTTGATTTTGTGGTGTAAAGAGCATAATTTCCAAATGTTTGGTGTTATTGCCGTCGGCATCCTTGGCGGAATTGTTATAACCCACTGCCAGTGTCGATTTAACATAGCGTGGCGTGCGGTTACGCTGCGTCTGTCGATCTTGTACCACGGTTTCACAAAGGATTTTCATGTTAGAATAGAATTTACATTGGAAATTGTTTATAAATTATTTAGCGTTTTTAGTGAAACTCTGATATTTTAGGTGAAACTTATTTACATACTTTTGTTGTCCAAATGTCACTCAATATTTACATTGGCTCTCAAATTGTGGTGTTGCAAAAAACCCAAAATGCCCTTCCGGAATCGGTTAGGGACATTGTTGCCGTTTTACTCTATTCGTACCCAAGTAGATTTTTGGTCCATAAATTTTGTGTCGATACTTTTTTTGTGTTCAGTTCAAATTCAGAAGCCTTTCTAAACATAAATATATTACATATAAATATGTATATCTTTCCGTAAATTTGTCTTCAATAAATTAGCGACAAAGATAAATATTAATTGCAGAGAGTATTGGAGGTTTTGGGGTGGAATTAGTAAAACAAACTAATGTATTGAACAAAACTCTGTATAATCAATTAATTTCATTTATCTTTAATTGGTTTCGTTTGGCACATAGCTCCGCTGCTGGTGCTGGTACGACATACAATAATACGACAGTATACAACACCTTGTGAACTCCCTAATTATGTTTTCTAAATGTACTAAATAGTGGCCTTTAAAAGCCAGTTTTTTCAGGGCACGGCCGTGGTTTAAACTAAGCTTAAACGTCCGATCTCGCTGGTTTAAACTAAGATCAGCCAATTAAATGTCAGCCAGCTGTTCAATTTAAACTCAATTTACTTAATCTAAGTTTAAACTGGTACTGATAACTGGTCTTAAATGTGATTTTTTAAGAATAATACGAATTACACATGTAAATGCGAGATCTAAATTGAATGTTTAAAATAAGCAAAAAAAAATATATTTGTATTAAATGTATCACAAAAAAGTGGATACTTTTGTATACTCTTTAGGCTACTATTTGGATACTTTTCTTTGGGAGGCTGTGGCAACACTGGTTAGGGACCAAAATGCACCCGGAATCGGAAGAATTGTACACAAACAATCATTTGAAATAGAAATATTGAAATATTCAAAATGAAACTGGTTTTTTAATTTTGTAACGTATAACGCTTTATGCATCTGAAAATTCAAAACTAAAACCCAAGAACATACTTTTGTTGTACGAATTTCAGGGAAACTTTCCTATAAGGACGGTAGTTAAAGGGGCGTGGCAAGAAAAGGAAATGGCGTGGCACCTCCCACCCCCTTTTTAAAGAGGTTATGAACCGCCGTTTAAAAGAATGCGACCCCCTAAGCCTAGGGCCCCTAGGGAGCCCTTAGAAAATTGCGGTCAGGAGCCCATCGCCATATAGGAAATGTATAGTTCCCAGCTCCACGTAAAAAACCATGTACATTTTATTAATTTACTAAGAAATATTTCCATATCCGCTCAGTCGAAGGTATTACATTTAGCTCCAATATTTCTTTCCATACAAATGCTATGCATGCCTTCGACCAAATTAAAATCCTGCTAATTGAGTTGACACAAATCTATTTTCCGAAATTTATTTAACTACAACATAAATAATACAATTTGTTATAGTAAATTTATGTTCTCATACGCGTGTTTATATGCAAGTATGTACATACATAGAGCACTAACGCAACTTGAAATTCTGCAACTCCAAGAAATGCACATATGTAGCTTTGTTTAAATTTAAATCTCAATTTTAAATTGTGTATATACGTATGTAAATACATATATGCGAATCGCTTATGCGACTGTTTCCTCTTCAAAACAATTTATTGTGCGTTGAAAACAACATGCACTGAGCATTGGTATTATTTATTGTTTTCGAGAATTATTCTATCAACAAAATATAAGTACGTACCAGCATTCTTCAACATTTCGGTGTTTCACAACCCAAAATAAACTTATTCCAAAATATTACGTACAAGCGTTTGCAGTTAGTATGTATTGTGCCTTATGAGTTTAAACAGATATAAATGCTTAATTTAGCTACCAGTGCGCACCTTCTCAGTGTTAATAGCATAATCAAATATTGACAATAAATAAAAACGACACGAAGGAGATCGAGTAGTACAGTAGTAAGTAGGGAGCAAACAAGGAAAACTTTCAGGCAGCGATAGGCATTTATGTAAATAGCGCTTCGACATGAAGTAATTTTCGTTGATAAATATATACCACCCTTCTTTATATCCGGATACCGGACTGAAGTTGCAAAGATCACAATACCGCTTTATCTTGTACACTTTCGTTTTTTCTAGATCACTTCCGAACCCCAATGGAATAGCTCCTAATCTTCTTTTCTATGTTGTTGTAAGTCGAACCCATCACAACGTGCAGAGGCAGAAAAGCAAAGGTATGAATGCTCCAATCGCTATGAAAACCGGCAGCATAACTGATGAATCATCCATGGAATAAGGATTCGGTTGTCTCGGACCACTAACTTTCCGCGTTGATGGCACGGATTCAACTTCGATATCCTTCTCTTCGTCTTCGTCCAGCGTGGCATCATTCACCGGCGAGGAAGCAGCATTTCTAATTCGCTGTTGATGCTCTTGTGTTTGTTCAGCAGCTCCTTCGCTGCTACCACTATCAGCAGAGATGCGATCATTGAAAACTGCCATGTCGGCATCCATTGGGAGAATATCATCGGATGTTGGCGGCAAGCGTGGTATATTCGCCACGTCACCTTTGAGCAGGGCAAAGGCATTAATTTTAGGATTATCGTAAGGGCCCTTAATAAAATCTAAACGAACGACACCATTGCGGATATCGGACTGTTCATCTTTGTAGAAGAGGCGATCGTTGGATACCCTAAAATGAACGTATTCTTCGTGAGCAGTCCCACGGCCGACTTGATGAAAAATATCAAGCTCCTTTACAACTGCATGCTTGTTGTTTAAAATCACGTCGAATACCTGCAATTATATTTAAATTGATAAATTAAACTGGGCATTAGAATTGTTCGAAACGAATGCAAATACCTATAAATGCAGTAAGTGAACCACCCCTCTGATGGTAATTCAGTTTTTCGTGCCGGTGTGTTTTACGTTGCTAATATGGCATTTATGTAAATACATACTACATACATACGTATGCATCTGCTTTGAAAAATGCTAATTTTATAAAAAATATTTTGGAGATTCTATGAGTAAACAATATCTGTTATCTGGACTTTTTTAATCGGCTAAAACCGCAAATATTCTTTCGAAGAAACTCTATTTACTAACGATACAGAATTCTCTCAAGCTAGCTAAAACGTGTGTATACATATTTGTGTGTACATTACTTAAATATGTACATATAAATATAAAATCTATTTAGCACTATAATTCGAATCGTTTTAAATTTTGATTCGATTAACGTTCCGGCTCATTATCTCCCAAATTCAAAATAATTACTCCTCTAGAAATTTGATAATGAATCTTATATAAATACATATACATATATATGTATATTAAGTTATTAAACGCAGTGGGCGTTTCCAATAAGTTCCATTACCAAAAAGTGTATTGAAATTACAGATAATGCCTATCGGTACCCTTAATTATAAAAGCTGTTCGTCTATCAACAGATAGAAGCGCTTACCTTTTTATTCGGCTCATTAAAATAGACCTCGCAAAACTTCATTATCAGCGCATACTCGCCATCGCCGTCTATCGGTAATGTATAACCGAAGGTTGCCGTGTGATAGCGCTCCGTGCGATAGAGTACCTCGTCTTGTTCCGCCACGCGTCCTATCAATAGTAAATGATTACCATAATCAGATGCCGTACCAATGCGTCCATGTAATGGATCAGCACTATAATGTATGCCATGTTTGTCAGTATGTTCCTGGCCGCCAGCATTCACCGCATAGATGACCTTGAGGTTTCCCAGTACGCTGCTGGGATAAAAACAGGTCAACAGCAAACACACAACCAACAACATAAGCGGCGACTTGTGATTGTTATTAGACCACATTTTGTGAAGAAACCGCTATAAATAAATTGCAGCGTTCGATTCGGGACACGCTCACGTCCGGAATGGCACCGTGTTTTTGCTGACGTTGGTTAAAAGTACCGACTACTCTTGATCTTTTTCGTCACTTCTCGAAATGTTTCGTCAACGGATTTAGGCGTCCCCCCTCGGTGTTTCCACAGGCTTTTCTGTGAGAAATGAACAGAAAATGAGGAAAATATATAGTACTTTCTTTCTGAGCTATACAATCGTGTATAAAGTTTTGTCAACGAAAAAAAATCAATTATCCACGCAACAAACAGCTGTTTGTAATCAGAACTGGTGATAATTCGGAGTAATCGGCATATCGATTAAACTGGGTAACGCATTAATCGCAAAAGTTTGAGAGGCTCTGTACACATTTTTGACTGATTCAATCAGTGTTGCCCGAAGTCCATTAGCTTCAAAAAAGATATTTTTCATAAATAATCAGAAATATATTCACATGCAGACAATTATAACAAAATTAAAACTCCATACCAAAGAACATGAATCTATAAGAAGAGACAACACGTTATAATTGTAGCGAGTGTGAACATCAGGAGGGTGCCTTTTCTTTTCATCCAATCAAAAAACGTATTTGGGCAAAGGAGAAGGCGCGTTCCTGATGCCAACACTCGCAGTGAAAATATTTGCCAGCGCTTGAAGATTGGTTTTTTTTTGGATGGTTGGTAAAAAACTTTTAGTTTTTGTCATCAATTTTCCGTGAACGTGAATAGATTTTGCCTGTGAAAATTCGCGCTCAAACTTGGCTTTGTGCTGCTCACACCCGGCTTTATGACTTTTCATAAGATAAAAAGTAGAACTATTTGTTAAAAAATAAGGGTAAGTCATTTTGGTCCAAATTAAAATTTCTATAATTAACTTTATAAAAACAATGGCCCGTAGTCATAGTCAAAATAAAGTCGACTTTAAAGTTAGTTGCAGCTTTTTTGACAGATATCCCATTGAAAATTATGTCAAAAAGCTGCAACTAACTTTAAAGTCGACTTTATTTTGACTATGACTACGGGCCAATATCAACATTATCCAATAGCGAACCTTATGGATTTTCAACAAACATTTTCTGGCCACACTGGATTCAACACGTGCAGTCAAGTTGCTAGTGGCATTTGGAAATTGTCCGATAAATACCTATATATTTAGTAAAGCATTTATGTTGAATAAAATAAGGATATTGCTAAACTGGCGTTGAAAATTGTTGCTAACGCTGTGAGGTTTTTAAGGCAATGGTTTGCATTCAAAAAGCTGCACAGCTAAACACCAAAATAAGAAAGCAGCACAGTGCAACTACCAACACGGAATCAGAAAGGCGTGCGTCCATTGATAACTCAGTCGTGACAACGCGGGAGTGCTATTCCAAACCTTTTGATATAGAAAAACCACCTAATATGGATTTTGAAGAACTTGACGATAAACTTAAGCTTGAATTTTTGGCCGGCGCCAATCTTGTAAAGCACCCACCACTTTTTGCTCCTGGTGGCGAGTAAGTTTTACACAACGTCTTTAAGTGTCTTCGATCGCTACTGATTTTCTATATTATAGATTTCTATTTATACGATACAAGGACGTAGTGCGTGTATATTCCACAGCAACAGGCCAGTTGGCACGTCAGCTTACAGGCGCTGGCGCCATTCTTATTTCGATGGAATTAGAATTGCAAGATAATGAAACCCTCGTTGCATGTACAAATAATGGAAAAGTATGTCGTTGGCATTGGCAAACTGGGCGACTTCAACAGACGCATGATTTGAAAATGGATCCAAATCAAAAAGTGTTGACTTTTAATTTGCTTAATTTTTATGCCAACTCAAAAACGGCTTGTGCTCTTGTAACATTCCGTGACGATAATGAGGAGGAAGTAAAATGGTTTGTAGCGGACACAAGTAGCGCGGAGCGTTTAAATGTGCCTTGCCAATTGAATCTGCTGTAAGTTTTTTATACGGTTTTATATATTCGTCATTACATTTATTTGATTTAAATGCCTGTTTTAATGTAGGAACAATGATCCGCTTGTGGCGGTGGACACGAAAATGTTCAAGTTCATCGCAATAGTGCAAGGCAGCTACGTATACTTTCTTAATTACAAAACATGGGTATGGAAGAGGTTAGTTAGTATCTGTAAATTGTACATATTTGTTGAATACATTTTTGCATCACTAATTGTTATTTTTATTTACAGGTTATTCAATGCACATCGTGTTCCTATCACTGTTGTACGAACACATCCACAAGAAGAGGCGGTAATCACTGGAGATGAAACTGGTAAAATTTTTCTGTGGCGTGAATTCATGAGCACAGCCTCAGTGAAAACGGTGGGTAATGAACATCTATTGTAAATATTCTTTATATACATACACATTTCCTTTGCATGAGTTCCCCTTTTAATTTTAACTAATCAGATATAAGAATGCCCTGATACTTTATGCTTTGAAAAGAAGGTGTTTGAAGCTTTTTGATTATTAACAAATAACTAGGCGAATTCATGATAGGAAAAGTCCCGAGACTGCGCTAAAATGAAATTTAGTCAATACTTCGGTAAAAACCAGAAAAAGATTTTGTTTTTGTTATAGAGTCGTGTTAAGATATGTATGTATGTACATATGTTTAAAGTTAATCAATTTATTTTTACTTATCCCCTTTGCACCAAAAAGAAAAACTTACACTTAGTACATTAAGGTCTCTTTGATAGGAAGAGTACAGAAAAGGCGCTAATATGTAAACTAAAATCTATTTAGGTAAATAGGATTTCAGTTATAGTAATATATATATATACAAACATATGCAAAAAAATCGGAAAGGGAAATAATGATTTCTTTTCGATTTCTCAAAGATTTTCCCACTATTCAAATTAATCTTACTGCCTAACCAGAATGATGAGGCTGTAGTATGTAGCAAGAGCTGTCAAAAGTTAAAATATTCTATATGCTCTAAACTTCCCACAATATGTAGCTGTGGTTATGGTGTATTATTGCTTATGTAGCTAGAGGAATAGCTTGTGGCTGTGGTACTACATTCTGTTTAGCCAGTAAAAGCATAAGCTACATGTTCATAAAGTAACATTTATTTGCACAATGTTTGACAGACACTCTATCACTGGCATCATACCTCTGTGACCAGCATAGCTTTTACACCAACCGGTACTGGATTCTACAGCAGTGGTAATGAGTCGGTGCTTGTGCATTGGAATATCAAGCGTCCAGATTTGCGTAATTTTTTGCCGCGCATGGGCTCCGTAATTTGCCAGCTGTGCGTCAATGATGATAATTCACAAGTTGCAGTTCTCACTGCTGATAATGCTGTCCAGTTCGTTGGCACCGACAACAAAGTAATTAGAACCTTGCAGGAATTCACCTACATTGAAGACGATAAAACGGGTAATAGCAAATTCCCAGTGGGCTTGCGTTTGAATCCTCGCACAAACACGCTAGTGCTAAATGGCAAGCATGGTCATTTACAATTCTACTCTGTTTACACCAAGAATATGTTGTATAATGTAAGTACTAGCATTCTCTAAACTAAACTCTAAAGGATGGTTTTTCAAAAAACGTTTATGTGCTTATATAGATGGACATTGTGATGCAAAATCAGCTTTCAATGGAGAGTGATAAGGTTCTTTATAACATAGCTGTGACAAAGGCAGCATTTAACATCGACTGGATGGCCACTGGCGAGGTATTCAACGATCGCGAACATTTACCTGAGTTACGTTTGAAATTCTGGAATTATGATGAGGCTGCAAAAACGTGAGTCCAACTAAATAATTGATAGACTAAAAGTAAAAAATTAAGGCGGCTGGACAAGACTACGAAAGCGAAACTTACCTACATTCACATTTTGATCGTTTCGGACAGCAGAATTTAAAATATTAAGGGCCAGATTTTCAGTGCACGGCCATGGTTTAAACTAAGTTTGAACGCCCGATCTGTCTGGTTTAAACTAACATCAGCCAATCAAATGTTAAATGTTCAATTTAAACTCAGTTTACTTAATCTAAGTCTTGATTTAAGGCTATGCTAATTGGCTAATTAGTAGTTTGAGTGTCAAGCTTTGAAATTAATGAATTGAACTTGACGATAATGAGTAACAGTTAATCCTCTTCTTAATCATAGCCTCAACCTCCTTTGCATCCTTACTGTCACATTGTATCGTGAGAATACGAGAAGTTTCACTTTAATAAATTAATATACATATTAAATTTTCTAGTTACTCACTTAACACAAATGTGGAGCTTCCGCATGAAGGTGGCTTTAAAGCCATTGAATTCTCAAATCCAAGCCAAGTAGACAATCTGCTGTGCGCCACTGTAGGCGAAGATAATATCATAAAGATGTGGTCGCTCGAGGAGTCGGATAATATATATAAAAAAGGGAAAGTTTGGTATTGCATAGCGGAAACAAGCTACAGCGGTTTGCCGATAGAATCTATCTCATTCTCGCAAGATGGCTCTGTACTGGCTGCTGGTTATGGCAACACGCTGTGCATTTATAGGGCAGAAAATTTGAAACTTAGAGCAGCGCTAACACCACCTACTGGCTTTGATGGTGTGGTCCCATACGTGCACATCAGTTTGCGACGGAAAGGTGTAGAGTCACCGTTAAAAGATGAGTTCACGCCAGAAAAACGAAAATGGTGGCTGAAACTATTCAACAACTTTGTAGAAAAAAACGATGAAACTATTGTTAAGGAGCTGGACAAGTTAGCTAAGCGGTGCGAAAAAATCGATTTTAAGCCCGAAGAAGTAGCTGCAGAAGAAATCGATGAGGAGACAAAAAAGGAGCTGTATAACAAAATAATGGATATGCATCAGCTTAATTTCTTTCATAAAGTGCTGTTATTCCAACGCCTCGGTATACGCATAAACGTGCATCCTGAGGGGCGTGAGCGCATACTCTCCTACTTGTACGACACAATGTTACCAGAAGGTCAGAGGGAGCGCCTGCGCGAAATGCAAGAGGAAGTGAAGCATCTTACCGTGAGACATCGCTACCGAGCGAAATGGCGTTTACACGAATCTGAGAAAAGGCTTAATCGATATGAAGCGGCTGTGCAAGAAAAACTATTGCCCCTTATGGAGGTGCTCGATCTCTGTGATGAAAGTTCGAAAGAAGCGCTTGCAAACGGAAATAAAACGAATAACGGCTCCGCATCAGCATCTGAGGCGACGAGAACAAAAGTGGGTGTCGAAAAGTCAGACGAAGCGGATGCGGTCGAACAAATTACGCTGCATAACCCAGTAATTGCGCAGATCTCGAAGGTGGAATTTGCGGCTGGAGAATGGGCGCATTTGGTAATGGAACTACCCGCGCATACAATATATGCATGTATCTTAATTATTTATCTGTTGGCTTTATAGGTCATCGTCTGCACAGAAAGACGTGTTCTGATCTACAATTTACTTACGCTACGATTACATGCTGCATGCAAGCTGTCCGTCGAGCATTTGGCATTCGATCCCATAAGCAATTTAGTGGCTGTCTTCACCAAGTATAATGAATGTAATACAAAAAGCAGTTATTTTATTGCATTTATTTAAATATTGATATATATATTAAAAAATAAATATTTTTATTACGCTTCATAGTGTACGTATTCCAGCCAAATGTACCGCTGTCCATTTATCGACGTCGCGATATGCCACCCTTGCTGGGCGCCGCGTGGCTGCCCCGACGACATCCCAAAAACCGTTCGTTGAATGTTGACTGGCAGGCGGTATCTACGTTGTACTTTTTAACAGATCAGCAGGTGAATATTATTAATTATGAAAACAATAATCCAATTGCAATTCATACTTATAAAAAAAAACTTAATTTTTAGGAAATCTACTACTTGGGCGTGCCAGATAGTGCGGACGATGATGCGCCGCCCCCAATTACCTTCAGCAGTTCGGCTAATCAAGCAATGCAGTATAGTACCTTCGGCACTTTTGCCACCCAACAGCACTCAGATATGAAAAGCAGCACACGGCAGTCGATTGGACCGCTGGTTATCGGTAATTCGCACAAAATGGCTGTGAAATCGGTGAGTGAATGCTTTATTTTTTTGCTAAAGTTAAGGCATGATGACGGTTATTTTTATATTTAGATTATGGTTGACTTTATAAGTTCGACATTTTAAAATATTTAGGCCCATTCGTCGCTCGAATCGAAAAGGTTGAGTAGTATTTTTTAAATATTGAGGCGTATTATTGTTCTCGCAAAAATCGAAAATTGAAACTTTTGTATGGAAAATGATGGGAAAATTTCATGATCTTCGATTCGAAACAAGCTTACGCCCCAATAAGTAGTATTTTTTTAATTTTTTCTTTTTTTTCGATTTACTCTAATCGGAAACCCGTGTTAATGTGACCTCAGCTTTGTGATTCGGCAACTGTAGTAGGTTAAGCTCCTGTCTACCGAGACTGGACCCGACGTACAGACTAGACCCCCGATGTGAAAACATGCATGTTTTTGTTTTTGTAACAGCAAACATTTTTTCCTTAGATTTTTTGGTAATCAGCTGGAGGTAATCAGCTGGATCGACAACCCTTGGCCAAATATAGATCTGGGTAGTTCCGATTATGTAAACCCGACTGTCATGTTTCTGCAAAGAGTTTTTGAGGAATATAAATATGCCCCAATGTATGTACAAGAACGACTATTCAGTAATTCCTGTAAATCTGATGGGTACTGGAACAGACTAAAGAAAGCAATGAGTGGCATCTCTCTTTGAAAATATGTCACATAGCTAAAACTCAAAATTGTCCAGACTTCGCTGCCATGCCCTGTCGTGCGCTGCGTATGATAATCGCTTGTATGCAAAGCTCATTAAACAGATTCGATATGTGGCAGTATAACCAGCGCTTTAAGCATCTATGACGCATTGCCTACTTTGTTTTTTTTTTTTATATCCAAAAAGTTTCTTAAGAGTTGATATATTATTAGCAAATGTACAATCTTGAGGTTTAAGAGCTAAAATAGAATTCGCATAACTTTGATAGATCCTCTGCTTGCGTTGCGAAAACCGGCTTATAGCGTTCATAATCAAAATTTACCATAAAATCTGCAAGCATTTAACCTTAAATGCTGTTGAATCTTGAGTGAGAATGGCTTGATCCGCAATCTGTGCGGGTTGACCTTCAATAATACAGATTCTGCGGTTGTTGCATCAAATTCTTTTCTTCTTGGTGTTATTTCAAAGTCTGTTGATTTTGCACTTGCAATGCTGCCAACAATGCCTTGAATTGTGAGTGATCCATTTTGCTGACTTCTAAATTATTCTCGTCGCCAATGTAGTAAAACGTAATTATTTAATAAATAACGCAGATTTGCAAAGATAAATGTTTATTCAATTGTAAAAGAAATAAAGGGAATTTTTTCAATCAGGATAATAATTTGACAAAAAGTGCAATGTTTTTTAGGAATTTAGAATTCATCGCAAGTAAATAATCAACCTTCGAACACTACTTACGTAGATACTACCATAGTTTAGAGTAAATATTTAACACTTAAATTTGTTTTATTTCATCTTTATTAAAGCTTAAAAAAGAAATACAAAAAAGTGGTCATAAAAAAGTACAAATAACATTCATCTACATACATACGAATGTTTGAAGTACATTAGGCATTGGCTTATGTTTTACGTGTACATATAAAAGTATGTATGTGCATATCTCTGCACATAAATATTAATTTTTTTATTTTAGAATTTATTAATGGTTTTTTTAATTTTAAATTAATCAGCATTAAGCGCTGCTACATACATACACACATGTAAATTGTCATAAAATCAAGGACTGCACACACACACATACATACATATATGTATATGCATATAGAAATTTCTCTAAGCTAATGTGCCTGAAATTTTACAAGTAAGATTTTTACTTTTTTTCCTCGTATTTGCTAAGAATTATCGCTTTCACATTGATATATGTATGGGAAACATTTCCGTATGTGCGGCTACATACATATGCATATATGTACATATGTATGTATATGCAACTTTATACAAAATTTGAACATTATTAAATGCATATACTTTGTCGACTTTCCGCGTTTTCGATTATATGCATGTACTCACATACATACAAACACAATATTATATATGTAGGTGATAATCAGTCATTGGGTGCATGTTGTCATGTGAATGTATGCTTGTACCCCTACATATGTACATACATATGTATAAAATAACGACCAAAAAATTGTTTGCTAGTTGCTGCTGCTACCATTACTGCTACTTAAATCATTTGACTTCTCTTCCGCAAGTCAAAACAACCGTCCTGCCTCCTCCTCCCCCTCCCCCATTGCCTCTTCATTCAATTCATTCAGTTAATCAGTTCTCGCAACGAAACCAATCCAAGGTGGTGGAGGCCAGGGTCTCCCCAGCACGGCACTCATTTGACATTGCCCGAGCGTGGCGTCCGTTGGCACATGCAAATGTCGGCAACGACGCATCATCAACAAATCGTGTTTAAAGTATCGCAAACAATGCCATTGCGGAATTTTCGAAAGTTGTTGCTGCAAAAAAGTAAAAAAAAAAACAAAAATTAAAATAAAATAAAATCGCGCATCACAGAATGAGAATTAATTTAATTCAATTAGAATATTTTTCGCTTTTCTATTTTGCTCAACATATTCTCAACAAGTGGAGATGTTCCGCATGCAGCCGAGTACAGCTGAACTCAGGTTTCATTAGAATATTCTTAAAAAGGAGAAGAAAAGGTAGTAAAGAGGAACAAGAATGGAAAGCACCATCCGAGCTACATATATAAAGGGCATATGTACATATGTATGTATGTATGTACAGTTGTCC